AGAAACGACGGAAGTCCTGAAATTAGACACAGTAAAGGAAAAGAAGCCGAAGTAGTTTTTTCCACCTGTCATGGCAGAATTATAAGTGGAGAGAATTTGAAAAAGACTGAAAAATAAAAGTCTCTCCAACCTGCACCACCCGAGGTATAACAGGTTTAAGCCAATTAGAAAAAATTAAAATATTAGCCAATTTGCTTTTTCCAATGAAAATGCCAATTCTTAAAAGGGGAAGAAGCGGAACCACGTACCAGGAACGAGCTCGAAAATGTAGCGGGTATTTATTCGTTTAATACTTGTTTCTTTTTTTTTTTTTTTTTTTTTCATTAATCAGAAAATATATAACAAGTTGTCTTGAGCTGTCTCCTGGCGTTCTTATCCTTCTAGGTCCTGAGCTGAAAGAAAAAGAAATAAGAAAATTAAGGAAAGATATGTACAATGCAGCTGTATTTGGTATATTACACATGCTCTGACTTATGATTACTTTGTAAGGCTGGATAAATGGAGGTATAGAAAGACTATCAGAGACTGATTAAGTGGTACACTTAAGAGTTAGTTTAGATCTATGGCGTACAATGTTGCTTGTGCAAGAGAACTAAAGTTAATTTACAATTATAGTTCTTTCCCCCTCCTCTCCCCCCTCCCCTCTCCCTCCCCCCTCCCCTTTTTATATAATATAATGCTTGCTCAAAGGCTATTCTTTCTGCATCATAGATAGTTGCATGTCCTGGAAGTTTAAATTGAGAGATGTGTTCTATTTCCATTGAGGGTAACATTACTACGAAGGCTGCTCCGACTTTACTAGGTGTTAAAGAACCATCGGTATATATGTGAAAATGACTAGGGACAGTTGTATTTAATTTAAATTCTATTTTATATTTACTTGCAGGGTGAGTATACCATGGATCAAAGAAATAATCTGTGTTATTTCTATTGAATATTACATTGTTAGATGATATCTCTTTGTTTTGTTGAAACAACCGAAATTGTTTAAGCTCTTTGTCAAGTGTGATGTGGATAGGGATAACATTACAAAGCACTGGCAGACTGACATTACTTGATGTTCGATAGGCACGAGCAATATGAAGTAGTGGGATTCGTTGTAATGATGTTATTTTACGTAATAGATGTGAATTATTACTACTCTTCCACCACACACTTGCACCATATACCATATATCGCTCTATGCATCTTAGGTACAATTCTCTCTGTTGTTTTTGATTTATGCCCCACTGAAGTTTAGAGAAAGAAGTTAGGTTCAAGGTATGTTTTAAAACTTTTTCTCTAAGAAATTCTACATGGGGAAGAAACGTAAGGTTACAGTCGATTGTCACTCCCAGCATACGTAAGGTTGGAACAAATTTAAGACTGGTGTTATTTATACGGATTGTTGGAGGTCTTGCTTGTGAAAGACGACGACCTGAAACAAACATTATACATTGACATTTAGAGAGGTTGAGATGAAGTCGATGGTCTGACGCCCATTTAGTTATTTTGAGTAAACTTTCGTTGGCAGTAGTTTCTATATTTCTTCTGTTTTTTCCATAAACAATTACAATTGTATCGTCAGCATATGCTTGCATATATGTTAGAGGTGGCAGATCTAAACTCAGTAGATCTGATATTAGTAATTAGACATGAGGAAGAAACACAGAAAGGGGGGACGGACAACGTTGTCCGTCCCCCCTTTCTGTGTTTCTTCCTCATGTCTAATTACAGTTACCAACACGCTCGTTTTGTACTTAACCTGATATTAGTATGTTCCAGAGTAAGGGACTCAATGGCGATCCTTGTGGGCAACCTAGTTCAACAGGGTGATGAATTTCTCCTGCAGCAGAAATGTATGACAAAGTTCTATTTTCAAAGAAAGATTTTAACAGGCTATACAGGTTAGATGGACAGTTATGATCTCGAAGATATTTTAATACAAAAGGGTACCACAGGGAGTCAAAAGCTCCTTGGAAGTCTAAGGAAATAAGTATAGAGTGATTATCTGAATCCTTTTGTTCTAAGATAGTATTTTTTATCTGATACAGTGCATTTACCGCAGATGTGTTATGAGTAAATCCATATTGATTGGGATGAAACAGGTTATTGTTATATAAAAAATAGTATAGGCGTGAGTTAAGAAGTCGTTCTAATATTTTCCCGAAGATAGAATTTAGACATATAGGTCTGTATGAACGAGGTTTGTCTATAGGTTTATTAGGTTTATTTAGCAGAATTAGTTTTGCTGTTTTCCATTCTATTGGGAAGTAATGAAATTTGAGTGTGTTATTTAAAATATTAATTATGAAACCTGGATGCGAGTAGAAAATGGATTTCATTATATTTGAAGTAATATTGTCTAAACCAGGTGCACTTTTAGGTTTTAACTTTTTTATTATTTCTTGTATTTCTACCTCAGTAAAGTACAGGTCGTCAGGAGAGTTGGTATCCAACATGATGTTTGATCTGATTACATCTTGTTCTGGTGTGTCTATTTCAGAGTTGTCTTTCTGGAATAGACAGTTAATAATAAGAGTAAGTGATTCCATTGTGCTGGTGGTCAAAGTTCCATCCCCTTTCTGAATAGGGGGAATAATGAGTGGTGTTTTTATTTTTTCAAAAGCTATTTTGTATGGCACTCCAAAAACATTTTGCTTGGTGTTTTCTGTACAAAAGCATTGCCATGATGACTCCTTGGCTTTGGAAATTTCGTCTTTGTATTCTTGCAAAAAATCATAATATGCTCTTTTGAAAGTTGTCCTTAAAGTGGCATTCTTACATCGCTGATATCTTCGTCTTAGTGCTCTTACTTTCTTTCTCATGATTTCTAACTCTGCATTCCACCATGGATGGGGCTTGTGTTTTGCTTTAACATTTCTCATGTATTTCTTTCTATATGCATTGAATTTATGATAAAATATGGAAATTATTACTTTTAACTGAAACAGGGAATTAATAGGACTAAGACCAGTTTGCTTAAGCCAACGGTCTTCTTTTAATCTATTGAGTAAAAGGATTTCTCCTTTTTTCGTTAATCTTTTTACCGGTTTGATTTTTTCATGAAAAAGAGAGAAAAATATATATCTGTGATCACTAAGTGATTCCGTTTCCAAGACTTTCCAAAATACTACCTCGGACAGTAGATTTATTGATGCTAACGTAATATCTACCCAGCTTTTACCATTTACCGTTTCAAAAGTAGGGAGTGAAGTATTGTTATTTAAAGTGTTTAGGTTATTGTTTAGCATAAATTCTATAAGTTCTTCCCCTCGCTGGTCTGTATTCTCCCCACCCCATATGCTACTTTTTGCGTTAAAATCACCCCCTATTATTACGTATTCATGAGAAATGTTACTTATTAATTCATTTAAAGTGAACAGGAATTCTGTGAAATTCATAGATGGTGAGCTATATAAACATATTATTACTATTTTAGTGTTTCTATTTTCTATTTTCACGATGATTTTATCTCGATCTACTTTGATAGGAAAAACTGTGACTGAGTTATTTCTAATTACAACAGCACATAGAGGTTGTGTATCTGCAGCAATAACAATGTCATTCATTGAACAACCTATTATTTTGTTGTTATTAGAATAATACGGTTCTTGAATGAGTATAATGTCCGGTTTTAAGTCAAAAGCTACTCGAGAAAGATTATCAGCGGCAGCGCGTGTATGTGCCAAGTTTATTTGCATAATTTTTAGATTTGATGCCATATTTAGTTAACTGTTTTTTTTTTTTTAGTAGGTTGTGCGAGCTCGCCTTCTTTCTACCTGCTGTTTGTAGAGAGGACAAGTAACATCATAGAAAGAATGGTCAGTTGGTATTGTTGTACCATTCCTCTCGTTTGACTTGCTGCAAGCTGAGCATTTTTTTTCATTTGTACATCTTTGCTCATGTTGTGTGCTGCAACGGCCACAAACCGGTTCATCCGCCTGACAAAACCGGCGCGTGTGTCCATATTGACAGCACTTCGAGCAGCGGATTACGTGGAAGTACTCTACTACAGGACAACGAGTCCATCCCAGGTATATGTACTTCTTTTCTTTTATGATCTTAAATAGAGCGCCATCTGCCTCGAATGTTATCGTTTGGGTGCCGCTGAAACGATCAAGAAATACCGCCTTGATGGTGATCTGTTCTTCGGTAAACTCCAAGCCGTTCTGCTCCTTCAGTTTCTGAAGAGCAGATTCGCGGGTGACCGATGGATCAACTCCCGTCACCCGGAACTGGGGCCGGAAGCGTACCGGGAATTTCGGAGTTAGTATTTCTTTTATGGACTCGTCTGTCTCGATGGCTGCCTTCAACCTCTCCAGACCCTCTTTGTTTGCAGCTTGTACGCTTACTCCGTTCGATGCTATGTTACGTACAGAAACGTTCTGGATGTTCAGCTCTAGAGGGTTGAATTTCGTTGTTAGGGCAACCCAAGTATTCACATCGGGCTTGCCATAAATCAATAAAGTCTCACGAGGTTCCGGAGCGGGTTCCGGAACCGTCAGAATCTCAGGCCCACGCGCCGCCGGGGTCTCTGGAGGGCAAGTCGCAGCCCCCGCACCAGCAACCGCCGCGGCGTACGTGCCCGGCAATTCCAACACTCGCTGTTCTTTCAGAAGATCCAATTTACCCTCCAGATGCGATACCTCCATAGACACGAGTGTCAGCGCATCTCCGAATACATCTATATTCTTATTTACTTCTCCCCAAGCATCATGCGAAAGAGATTTCGCATGTTTCTTCATCAGCGTCACGAAAGATTCTTTAATAGCTGCATAATGCCATAATGCAGCAGCCACGACAGGATTTAATCCTGGAGTTGCATCCAGCACCGAAGGAAGCGCTAACGATTCATTCCGTGGCTCTGGTTCTGCAGAGGCAGACGCCGATTCACTCATGCTTAGTAGTACAAGTACTGCGATCTTAGTTCCTTGATATTTTAATTAATTCCTTTCTGATGACCGAAAGAAAGGTATTTCTAGAATCGGTAACGATTCCGCTACTCAGTACTGTGCTTGGATTGATTATCCAGCCTATTTTGTAGCTAGAAAATAGGAAAATCACGGACGAGGCCGGTTTGTTTACTTACGTGTTCCAACTTCTTCCTCTCTAAAAAAAAGATTAATATCTTGGGTCCAAATAGGACCCGTATCAGATATTAAGCTGATAAGAACAGAATTTTATTCATGTTTTTGGGTTTTTCGTACAATGATACCACACAGGATGATGGTGTTTACAGGACGTTGTGATCATGCATTCACTCATACAAAGCTAAGTAAAAAAAAAAAGGAGTTACACCATCATCAGCCTTGTCTATGTTTACAATGACGAAATACACAAGAAATTAAACAATCACTATAAGAAAAAAAAGGAAATGGGGTCATGCACTACATTATACAATACTACTTGTCTTCTTAAACCTAAACAATAATATGGGCAAAAAAATTAAAGAAAAGTGCCTTAATTAACATGCATCTTCTTTCTTCTTCCTGCTTCGTTCCTGGTTCCGGTCATCGCGTGGGTCCTGCGATGTGGGCCGCGTAGATGTCCCTGGAGGCCCGGATGGTGTCGCTAGTGGCCATCTGCTTCATCCTCTTGAGGTAGGACCTGGAACAGAGTTTTTTGAGGAAGCGATCGTTGGCAGGGTCCCAGCTGCCCAGGGCCCCAACAACCACCGCCTCCACTGTAACCCGTTGGTACCGCCGCCGCAGGTGGTCGATCGCGGGGCGGTACTTCTCTTCTTTGGTCCTCCTCGCCTGGACCAGGGCCTCCTTCCGGTTTTCGAAGGGTATGCAGACGTCCACCACCACTGCCTCCTCGCCACGCACCAGCACCAGGTCAAGTCGGAGCTGCGTGTCCCCCACCGCTGCGTTCTCTGAAACGAGAGTGAAGCGGCCAGCACTTGCCTTCTTGACACGCTCGACGACATTGTTGTGGCGCTGGGTGATGGCCTGGGACTGCCGCATGCAGTGGTTGAGGACGTGCGGCAGGGTCTCGCTGGCGAAGCCACAACGCCTGCACCGTTGGTCGCTGCCACGCTTCCACGGTTGGGCGCCGTTAAGGGGGAGCAGGTTGAGACGAGCCCTGTTAATAAAACGCCAGTCTGCAAAGCGGGTGTACAAACCCGTCCGGATGAAGTGGGAACCTGCAGGGTCGGCGGCGACGCACTCCATTACCTTCCCCTGGTTGGGCAGGGCGTGGAGCCTGGCATCTTTCAGCTGGGCTAGCTGGAATCGGAGAGAATGCATCACCTTCGATCGCCCTCGAGGAGTGATTACTTGGCTCCCGACTGTGATGCTTGCTCCCTCCGGTCCCAGCTCCCAGGCTACGTTGAGTCGCCCCGACGCCTTCCTCCCTTCCGTCCAGACGCTTCGCAGCTGCGTTGCGGGCATCCGGAAATCTCCCTCGTTGTGGCCCGACAGGTAGAGCTCCGCGTCGGGCAGGTCGCAGTCTCGCCGCAGCCTCGCCTTCACAATGCCCATCAGATCGTCCAGAGCCATCCGGGCAACCTCCGGGTCACGCGAGGTCAGCAGCTCGAACACAGAGTCCACCCGGCAGACGTCGCTCGTCTCTGCCGCGCAGGGGATCCCGCAGGCCCCGGCCCTGCTGCTGCCGTAGATGTAGTCATTTGATGCTCCAGGTGGTAGGTACAAAGTACGCTTGATCAGTGGCCGAAGTGCCTCGTCCAGTCTGGCCCACTCAGTCTTGCCGACGGTCCCTGTCCTCATCAGGTGGTGGAGCGCCGGGTAGAGGAACGTCTTGATGGCATCGAGCCTTTGCCATGGGGCCAGCATGGAGCCTAGGATCCTGGTGCCCAGTTGGATGGCTGCGTCCACGTCCGATCCGTCTTGCAGGATGTTGAACCCGACTGGCCTGCCGAGGTAGGCGAAGGCCTCGAAGTCCCTGATGACAGGGATGGGGGTGCCATTCACAAGGAATTGGCTGCCCCTGAGTCCCACAGGCGAGCAGCCGCTCAAGTGCAGACTGCGACACTTGGCAGCATTGAGGGATAGGCCCAGCCGCCCAGCTTCCTCCTCGATCAGGTTGATGCTCGCCTGCAGACTCGCCGGGTCCCGAGCCAAGGGGGTCAGGTCGTCCGCGTATGCGAGTATGCAGTGGTCCGCAGTTGTGCCCTGCACCTTCCAGATGACGGGGTCCACGACCAGATTGAAAAGCAATCCACTCAATGGACAGCCCTGTCGTATGCCGCAGTGCATTGGGATGGGATCCGTGCAGCCGTCGTTGGTCACAACGCTGCTGCTGCTCTCGTAGTACATGTCCTGGACCAGCTCTGCGAAGGCCTCGCCTGCACCCACTCCGCGCACCGCATCCACGATGGCATTGTGGGGGACGCAACCAAACGCATTGCTGAAATCCAGGAATGCCGCGCAGAGATCCCCGCTGGTGGTCCGTGCCTCGTCCATGCGCCTCTGCAGTACGTAGTTATGCTCAAACACACCATCGTACGGCAGAAATCCCTTCTGCGTCCTGCTCAGGACATCGTGCTCCAGCAGCCGCGCCTGCAGACGGGCCGCCAGGACTCCCGAGAACAGTTTGCTGGCTGTTCTCAGCAGCGAGATCGGACGCCAACTGGTGATCTCGGCTGGGTCACCCTTCTTGGGGACTAGGATTGTACGGGACTGCCGCCACGAATCCAGGATGGCCCTGTACTGGAGGCAGATGTTAAATGCCGCTGTGAGGAAACAAAAAACCACACCCCAAGAACACTTTGATCTTAGCCAAAAGGCCGAGAAGCGATTTTTTTTTTTTTCAAGGTTTCTATGGAAATGATTAATGAATAAGATCACTGAACATAAACACTTAATTAATGGTCTCAGTTATACATATGTGAATTGGTACATGTCTTATTCCATCCACGCACCCGGGTCATCAGGGTCTTCCACTCCCAGTCTTCCTTGTCTTGCTCTCAGGGAATCAGCCACCTGTGATTCTAGCTCAGTAGAGATCATGTTTATGATGGGAGTAGATTTGGACCATGATTCCGGCTTCGGGCCAAACATAGGATAAAACAATCCTGTGTTTGATAGTAGGGTTCCTGTGGTTAGATTTCTGTTGAATCTATGAAGAATGTTATTTGTCAGTTCACATTGGAATTCCCAGTCTCTACTTCGTCGTTCTCTTTCTGGGAATGTAGTTGAGAGAACCCGGATTACTCGGCTGATCAAAGGGATCATTTCTGGTCTCTGTAATGTCTTTGGTCTTCCGGATTCGAAACTCCAGTCCCACATAAGTGAAGGTCTCACCGCTTCTCTTGTCCTAGTGGGAATGATTTCGTACAGGTAGGTGACAGGACCAGTCAAGAACTGATGAACTCTTTCGTACCACGTCAAGTTACCGACACTCCATGTTAGAAAAAACCACACCCCAAGAAAGAAACTCAGATGTCGTTGTAACTTTTGGTCGGAAGGAGGTCGGTAATCTAATTGGGATCTGTCAGGAGTTACATCCAGAGTCGCATTGGAAAGGAGCCCAAGCATAGCATAGCAGACTGGTCTGATCATGTATGGTAGACTCATGTTGATCCTGAGAACATCAGACATCTCGTCTGCATAAGAAGGACTTAATCCCATGGATATGAGGAGGGTCGTCATCTCAGTTAGGGGCGACGGGAGCAGCTCAGGTGAAATGCCCGCAGCTAGTAGACGTGGTGATAATCTGCAGGCCCGAGTTAATTCTTGAGACATTGAATGACGTGCACAACAATTCTTGAGAGCTACTTCAACTGATCCAGTGGTTGCATGTTTTCCAACCAGTTTTCGTGTAAGGGGTATATCACACACCAAGTACAGTTCTGATGTAAAAGATCCACATAACTCGGTCCATCCTAGCTCCACACGGGAGAAGAGAGATCCTACTCGGGAAACCCCTCTAGCGTTTGTTTCCTCGATTACAGTTCCAAACATCTTATAGATGAGACGTCCTTTCTCAGACAAGATAAGGGGCACATAATGGGCTATCAATCGTTCAATTTGAACAGATGATTGATAATCTCTGTACTCTAAGTCTAAGACTATCAGGTCCACATCCATGTTGTAAGACCGTTTTAGTCGAATGAAATTCTCCCATGTTTTCTTGTCTCTCAAGTCAGATGGTTCTGTCCAGCAAGTAGCGAAATTTACACATCGAAACCTATATTCTTGATCTAGACACGAGATGGCAGAGGGAGGTCCAGGCGTAGTGCCGCGAAGACTTCTACCTTCTAAGCTCATCAAGCTGTTGAATATACCCAGAGATGATGGGTACATCCGAAGGAGAGCTGATGTCATCCCTCCAGACCCGTCTCCACCACAAATAAATCCTCGAACTGGAGCATAACCGTGTAACAAGCAACGAAGCTTGTAGTGGGCACCAGTAGCTATCTGTCCAACTCGGAGTCCGTGGATTAAAGGGTCATTAATTCTTGGTATTAAGATACTGTTCCTGATCTGAGTGGGGTGATTTGAAAAATCAATGGATGTCATCTGAGAATATCCAATGTACTCAGGTCCCCATTGTTGTTTTCGGAATTGAGTCACTGCCGGAACCACTCGGGAGATTGGAACAGTGGGGACTGATCTTGCGGCATGACGGACTTCTTGGGTGCACCGAAATATGGGTACACACAGGTTACGTAGAAGTGTTATATCGGGTTCAGGAATAGAGCTTTCTTCGGTGGGACTCATCAGTTTTCGGGAGCAATAGTAGGAAATGAGACCTTTCAATTCCACTAGCTCCATTCGCAATCGTCCTTCCAAGCGTGACTCTTGCAACAGACTGTATAGTCTATGTGCAATGATAGACAAGCCTGTTAATCTGGGAGTTTTGGAGTCTGCAAAAATCCACAACTCTTTTCCCATTGATCGATACTTGGGTTCTCGAAGGGTTCTGCTTAGAACATGATGAGTGAAGTAATTCACAATCAAGTCGGAGATGTCGAATTTAGATGGTGGGTAACTGGAAGGGATCCGGTGTGCGACATTCTTTAGCTCTTTCAGAAGGTCCGTCTGTGTCACCATTGTTGAAAATCCGGGATGACGAGACAAGTGATGGATCAAACGAAGGACCGATCCTTCGAGGATGTCACGCGGTCTCTTTAGTTGTTGGGAAGATCTGTGATAAGCCATGTTGTAGGCCGCTGCCATGTATAATCCTCTTAGGATTCCGAGCATGTAGGACCGAGTCAGCATTCTTGGGCCGATAACATTGGGGAACA